TAAACATTGTGTGATTCCACTTAAATGAAGCTCTCGAATCCATAGAGATGGGAAGTAGAGAGGCAGTTTTCAGGGGTTGGAGGGGGGGTGGGGAGTTATTGTTTAGTGGGCACTGAGCTCTGTTTTATAAGATGAAGAGAATTCTGGAGACTGGTGCACAACAGTGTAAATATAATTTAACACTATTGATCTGTACCCTTAAAAATAGTTAAGGTGCTAAATTATATGTTGTGCATTTTTTAGCCTAATAAAAGAATTTTTAAAAGAATGATGTGTGTGTTTGTTTAAAAAGTACTATGAACTGGAAGATGGAAAAGATGGACACCTCATATCCTGTGAGCATTAATGTAAATTGGTGCAATTTGTTTGCATTAGAGTGTGGCTCTAGGCATAAAGGAATTTTATATGGTGATATCCTCTGTCCCAGTCATTCTATTTATTAAATATCTTAAGGGAGGCAATCTCAAATGCAGACAAAGTTTTATGCCTAGAGGATGTTTCTGTACTGTTTCCATAAAGAACTAGAAACAAGCTAAGGTCCGCTGATGGGTGTGGGCAGCAGAGAGACCAGGCAGCATCAGGAGGGCTGGGCAGCCCACAGCAGGTCTGCAGGGATAGGTCCAGGGCCGCAGGACCCCAGGGCCTTAGGGGATGAGGGTGTTATAAGCAAGAAGGGTGCAGACTTGGGAGCTACAGCCCCAGGAATTTACCAACACAAGAGACTTGGCATACGGTGCAAGACATCGTTTGGGAATGAGAAGAGTCATTTACAAGTAACACAGACACATTAATAAACGTTTTTGTATATAAAAGAGAGTCGAGCGTAGTCCTCACAAACACGGGATTGGGATCAGGAAGACTTGGGCTGGAGTCCTAGCTCTAGCACTACTGTGAGACTTGGGCTAACCCGAGTTTAGGTGAAAACCTAGACTTTGTGATGGTTTCCTCCACGTTCCAATGGGAGCCACCATGGCGCCCACCACGTGAAATGTGTGAGAGTATTTTGTCCCCAACCTCAAGTCATTTCCAAAACGCTCCTTCCCATCTTTTGTGTCTGGTGTTACTGCTTCTTTGGTTTTATGACTCCTCAGCTGTTTCTTTGTCTGATGGTCTTCTCCTTGTGCTCCCACAGGACAAGGGGACTGTCACTTGGCTTGGAGTGGGCTGGAGTGAGGTGAGTACCTTCTCTTAACTAGCAGCTGGCAGAGCCCAGCAGACAGGGAAACACAGTGGATTGAGTCCATCTTGGCACTTGCGGCCTTCCTTCCCTGAAAGAATCACCAGAGGCGGAGCCCCTTGCTGCTCCCTGTTGCTCAGATGGCTCACTTTCAACCCCACAATTTGTTTTCTCTTCCCCAAGGGTAAAGCAACACCTCCTTCCAGCTGGACACAGACTGGTGAGCTGAACGGGAAACTCTGAGATCCCACTGCTGACACCATGACCTCAGAAGCTGACGGGATCTGCCCAGGTAGTCAGCTTCCTCCTCTCTAGCTGGTTCCTGCTTATGATCTAGAATTGAGGGAGGCACCTCCAAGCGGCTTAAGCTACACAAGAATCAAGAACCTCCAAGGGGATTGATGAGTGTCCCTGAGCCCCCAAGAGGGTCAAGGGGAGTTCCCTCAACCAGGAGTCTATGTGGGGACCTCCTTCCTAGCTCTCTCCTCAGGCTGCTCACTGCCTCCCATCTTCTGCAACTCATGCAATGTCTCCAACCAGGCCAGGACAGCCCATGGGAGGTGGGAATTTCTTGTCCCCTGTACCTGGAACCTGCTAGTTCCTGGTGGAAATCTTCCCCTCCAGAGAACTGCCACCTCCCACAGCTGTGCTGGGTCCCTGACCTGTGCCCCAATTATAAACACCTGCATATCAGGTGTGACTATCTCAGTCACACCCTGCAGAGGCCTGCTTTGTTATTCACCACACCCACACCCACCACATTCAAGAAATACACCCATTTAGTGCTCTGGGTTCCCTCCATCTAAGCCCTGGTTTCCTTTTTCCCTCAGTGTGTGAAGCAAAAAAGGAAAAAACAACCCTCCCCCCCACCAAAATCCACACTGCATTTTCTAGGCAACCAAATCACCCCCCAGGGGAGGATAAAACTTGTTCCTGTTGCAGCATAAGGGAGGAGAGGACAGATCAGTAGGCTCCATCTACTGAGCAGTCTCTCCGGTCCCTGAGGGAGGCTGGAGCTGGTGGATTCCTGAGGATAAACAAGATGACCTCTTGTTTAAGGAGTGGGCGAGGGTGGCGTCAGAAGTGCCCAGGGGAGCTGTGGCCCCTGAGACCAGCCTGGAGGTGGGAGAGCTGATACTGATTGATCACAGGATTAGAGCCGAGGCTCCAACCCCCACCCACCTGAACACACCCCCTCCACTGCCCACCTTGGAGCACCTATGAGAAGCAGGAGGAATCCTCTTTGCTGATAGTTTTACTTCATCAGTGGCGTGTAATCTGAAACATTTTCAAATTTTAAAAAAATCCCATAGGTGAACTCTAGGGTAGAACACAGAAATCACATGAATTTTTGAACTACAAGGAGGCTTCAAACTAATGTACAGAAATGTCTGACGGGTGACCTTGGATGCCACCTGTGAGCTTTCTGCTTCTTGGCTTGGGTCTTCTTTTCCTGTCTGAGTTTCACCTTCTTTGTCTGTGAAATAAGAATAATATGTCTAGTGTGTTTATGGCAGGAAACACATTTCCATCCTGTCTCTGCACACACAAAACATACACCAACCCCCAGTCCCTCATCTGAGCTTCCAGGGTCTCCAAATCCCTGAGAGTCACACAATTTTTAAAAGATTAATAAAAGTTATTGATTTATACAGAGAGAGAGAGAAATAGAAAGAAGTGAGGGAGGGAGAGATATGGTGTCTCTGCCCCTTCTCCTAAGGACACCATTCATATTGGATTAGGTCTTACACTTATGACCTCATTTAACCTTAATTATAAAATACAGTCCTATGGGGCCTGGCCATTGTGGCTCAGTGATTGAGTGTTGACCCATGAACCAAGAGGTCACTGGTTCGATTCCCAGTCAGGGCACATGCCTCGGTTTCAGGCTCGACCTCCAGTAGTGGGCATGCAGGAGGCAACTAATTGATTCTTCTTTCATATCGATGTTTCCATCTCTACACTTATCCCTTCCTCTCTCTCTAAAAATCAATAAAAGCATGTTAAAAAATAAATAAGCCCCAGCCGCTTTGGCTCAGTAGATAGAGTGTCAGCCTGCGGACTGAGGGTCCCAGGTTCGATTCCGGACAAGGGCACATGCCCGGGTTGCGGGCTTGATCCCCAGTGTGGGGTCAGCCAATCAGGATTCCCTCTCATCATTGATGTTTCTATCTCTCGCTCCCTCTCCCTTCCTCTCTGAAATCAATAAAAATATATTTAAAAAAATAAAAATAAATAAATGAATAAGTACAGTCACATGGGGTGTCAGGCCTGCAATATATAAATTTGGGGGGACAGGTCAGTCCATAACACCAGCTGAGTCACCAAAAGTTCCCAAGATCTTTTTAAAAACTCCTCCAGGTGATAGCTGCTCAGGAAGATGACCATTTAATCACAGTGTTTATACTCAATTCCATTAGATTTCTTCTAACCTTATTCATTTTCCTTTCCATCTAGAGGGCAAAGACTTTGTTGATGTCATTGAGTATTTAATGGACCCAAGGAACAAAGAGAAACTTCAACACCTGCTGAGTGATGAAGCCTGGAAAAGCTTTGTGACTGCGGCCAAGTTGTCCAGGTAACCTCCAGGGGATGCCTGTGTTGTCACCCCATCTTCCCTGCATCTAGATTCCTCTGGCAGGCACACTCCTCCAGGCAGGGTTCTGAGCATGGGGTTAAAGAAGTTCCTTTTCAACAGTCCATGAGGAACATTTCCTTCATATCATTCCTTGCAGAGAAGGGGCTCGGGTTGAGAAGAGATGAGGCCTGCAGGGGGAGGGTTAGGTGACTTTGGGCTCCTTACTTAACCACTCTCTGTCTTACTCATCTGTTCTATTTCATTGTGAGGAAAATAAGACAATGCGTGTGAACTGTTTAGCCTAATGACTGACACATAGTAGGTGGACACTTGACATGAACTTTTAAATAGATGCTGGGAATAGACAGGGCCCAAGGGTCTTCTTGTTGGACTTGAGAGCCACGCAGGACTTCCTGTGGGAAAAGCCAGGAAAATCCTGGCACAGTTTGTGTCCCTGGGGATTGTGGCTAGAGAGCCTGCTCTCCCTAAGAAAGGGATTGTACAGACTCTGCAGGGTCCTGCTGGCCTGGAAGGCGGAGAGCTGGAGTGAAGCTGGACCATGTTGGGTTGAATCCTGACTGTATCTCTGCCCGGCTCTGGGGCTCTGGGCTTTTGTCATCTCCCTTTTCAATGGAATAGCAAGTCCATCTGATAGGCCTATGGTGAAGGCCTTGGCATGAACTGCAGGGCAAGGGCGAAGCAGCAGGTGTAGTCATCCTGTCTGGAGGCCCAGAGAGGCCTGGAGCAGGGTCAGAGCCTGGCATCTGGATGGAGCAAGGGTAGTTCAGGTTGGAGGACTGGTAGGAAAGCTTGGCAGCGGGGCTGGACTAGAATGAGGCAGCTGAGGCACCTGGCACAGGACTGAGGAGGCCAGGGGGCTAGTGGAGGGCTGTGCGGGGAGTGGTGGGGGACACATTTCTTCCTTCCCTGATTTGATCCCCTCTCTGCTGGGGGGAGAGGGCCCTGGGTGATTATGTCCTCCAACTCTGTCTGGGAGCTGGAGGGCTCCTGACCTCCATGTGGGAGCCTCTTCTCTTCTCCATGGAGTAACCCTGACCAGAGGTCATCTGAGAGATTCTGGGTAGACCCACACGTTCCCACCGTAGAGGACAGGGCTTCCCGCACCAGCTCATTCAATCCAGGTCTCAGCCTTAGCGATTCATACACCTGCCTTGGTTAATCCCCTGTCTTTCATTATTACAGGGATGAGGCAGATGCACTCTATGCAGACTTGAGCCAGCTGAAAACACTCATGGCCGTGGAGGACAAAGACATGCCCTCAGCAGAGCAGCTGCATGGGGAGAGCTTTATGAAGGAGTTTCCTCAGGTGAAACAGGACCTTGAGGAACGCATACGAAAGCTCTACGCACTTGCGGATGAGGTGGACAAGGTGCACAGGGACTGCACCATCTCCAAAGTGGCGGCCTCTTCCACCGGCGCTGTGTCTGGCCTTCTGACCATCGCTGGCCTGGCTCTGGCACCTGTGACAGCAGGAGCTAGTCTGGTGCTTTCAGCAACTGGGTTGGGACTGGGGGCAGCAGCTGCTGTGACCGGTGTGACTGCCAGCATTGTGGAAGCCTCAAAGAATGCGTCAGCAAAAGCCGAAGCCAGCCGCCTATTGTCAACGGGCAGTGACACAGAGAAGCTGGTCGGGGAGGTTCTAAGTCGCAGCACACCCAAAATTGCTTCCTTAGCAAGGAAGTGTTATCAATCCCTGCAAGTCATTGTGAAGAATGCCCGTGCCTTCAAGCTGGCCAAAGCCAATCCTCGCTTAGCAGCCAAGGCCACGCGCTTCTTGCGCACGGGGACAGTCTCAGTCCGAAGCGGCAAGCAGGTGCAGAAAGCTTTTGGGGGCACTGCTCTGGCCATGAGCAAAGAAGCCAGGGTCTTCGGTGCAGCCACCGCAGGTATATTCCTTCTCATGGATGTAGTGGACCTAGTGAAAGAGTCAATGCACTTACACGAGGGCGCAAAGGCTCAGTCGGCGGAAGAGTTGAGGCAGCAGGCCCAGGAGCTGGAGAGGAGGTTGGAAGAACTCACCCGAATTCATGCAGGTCTACAGGAGGACCTGACTCCGTGATCCCCAGACAGTGCAGGGAGCAGGGTGTGTGGGAGACAAAGGCGTGGACTTACATTGTTAGAGGGGGAAAGCCGGTGAGATAAAATGGATGAGACTGTGTGTTAAGGAGTTTGGTATTTCTATAGCTGAGCACAGCAAAGAAAGGGTTCATGCAGATGGCAGGTGGGTCAAAGAGAAGGAAGGAACCTAGAGCTTGGAATCAGGAAAGAGAGGGGGAAAGAGAGTGAGGGGTGGGGCTTTATTTTGACTAAAAAAGACATTGGGGTCATGAATAAAGAAAGAGAAGTGAAGGAATAAGCACCGAGAAGGCTCTGACTACCAAAAAGTTGACTATGGAAGAGGGTGAAAGAGTTTGAGTTGTTGGGATATGGGAGTTACAGTGGCTCCTGGATTGGCCCTCCCCAGGGTTCACGGTAGCAGCAGGAACTCCGTCTCTCCCTGGTCCTGGTCTCTAGCCCTGCTTTCCAGTTCTAGCTCACCTTTGTCTTCCAGCAGTACATCTTAGGTAGGTAGTGACTTTTTTTTTAATTACTATATATAGTTTAATGAAAAATAGTAATGATTGTGTAACCAAATAGCTAAAACTATAATCACAGGTGTTTTAACCATTCCCTGATAGAGCAACATATCTATATGAATAGATCAAGTACATTTACCTTGAAACACTATGGGTGGCATAGGACCGATCCAAGCAATTATTCAAGAGACCCAAGTATGGTCACATCTACCCAAGCAAAAGAAGAGATTACTGAAATTTTTTTATGTCTTAGATAGAGATTCACATATGTTATTGGACAGACAGTAGTTAGTTATTCATACCTCATTAAGAAAATAAATTCTAAAAGATAATGAATTGTTTATTATTCATTTTCTATACCTGCATAGGCACAAGCTAAAGGCATTGAAGTTCTCACTGTTATAAATAATAACCAATTAATATATGGTAATTCATGCTTCCTCTTATTTTCTCTTTCAGTCCCTACCAAAACCTTACATTGTCAATGCAGTAAGAATGATAGAACAAATTTTCAATTAGGGAGCTCAAGGCATAAATCTAGAAACATACTATTAAATGTTGGGGCTACATCAGAAAACAAAGATAAAAAACCTTCATGGACCTTAAAATCTCAGATTTGTGTTAAAATAGGTATAATTATGGCTTTGAAAATTATGAATGAAGCTGCTCAAATGCATATTCATAATAAAGTATGTTCTTAAAGAACTGCATTAGTAGCCAGGGGATTTGTATGTTCTTTTTTTTAATTTAAATTCTTTATTGTTTAAAGTATTACATAAGTCTCCTTTTTCCCCCATTGACCTCTCCCAGGCCACCCGCACCCCCCAGCAGTGACTTTTCATTTTTATTATTTTATTATTTTTTTAATTTTGTTTTATTGCTTAAAGTATTACAAAGAGTATTACATATGTCTCCCCCCCCCCCCCATTGACCTCTCCCTGGCAGCTCCCCAACCCAGCATGTGTCCCCACCTTGTACTGTCTGTGTCCTTTGGTTATGCTTATATGGATGCATACAAATCCTTTGGTTGATCTCTTAACCACCTCCCACTTCCACCCTCCCCTGCCTTTCCTCTGAGATTCAACAGTCTGTTTCAGAGGGGTCCTAGATTGGAGAGGTTGCAAACTGGGCTGAGGGACAACTCCCACCCCTGCCCCAAATGCATGAATTTCATGCACCAGGCCTCTAGTGCATTATAAAGTATGTTCTTAAAGAATTGCATTAGTAGCCAGAGGATTTGTATGTCCTTTATTTTTTTAATTTAAATTCTTTATTGTTTAAAGTATTACATAAGTCTCCTTTATCCCCCATTGACCTCTCCAGGGCCACCCCCAACCCCACCCCCCGGGACTGGCTTTAAAAATTTTTTTTTTATTTTTCACTTACAGTTGACATACAATTATTATATTAGTTTCAAGTGTACAATCTAGTGATTAGAAAGTGATCACCCACTAAGTCTAGCAGACATGTGGCATCATTCATAGTTATTACAATGTTATCCACTATAGGCAGTGACTTCTTGATGATGATGATGGGGGCCGTGATGATGATGGGGTTGGTGGTGATGACAATGGAGTGGGTAGAACATTTGACAAGTTGCTGGTGCTCACTGGGGCCAGGATGCTCTGAGAGACCAAAGAAATTACAATGAAACTGCAAATGCTCTTACAACAGTGGTTAATTTGAGAAGAAAAGAAAAGAAAAAAGAAAAGAAGAGAAAAGAGAAAGCAGATACTCCCAGCAGGTCAAGGAGATCTACCAATCGGGCCCTGAGACACAGCCTCTCCATCAGTGGGGGAGGTGGTGTGGACACGATGATATTCTAGACCCTCTGTTTCTCCCACCTTGTGTTCTGTAGACTTTGGTTCAATAAGGTGGACGGTACACTGAGCCTTTGTGGTATGGATTAGTGGGCCCATCTGGGCTCTGGGTGCCTGGCTTCCCTTCCCCATGAGCCTGTCCTCCAGGAACTCAGGGAGCAAATCTTCCATTGCTCCTCCTGCTCGCTCACTGGGCTCCCACTCTCCCATCCAGTCAAGTCCCTGAGACCTCGGTGCCCCGTAAGCTCCGCTGGGACACCTGGGGGAAGCTTCTGCACAGGTGGCTTGGGCTGGACACAGGTGGCTTCCTTGCCCAGCAGCTGGGGCCCAGGATCAACTGTAGGACATGAGGCTGATTAAGATCAGAAGGGCTTGTTTGCAGGTATGAGAGAGGGTCATCGATAAACAGAGAGACAGAGAGAAACAGCGAGACAGCAAACATTTCTACCAGCTACCCTCACATTTTCCCTCCTGCAAGAGCTTCCCGATGGTCTTCCTGTGTTTGCCCTTGTGGCACTGCCCCTGCCCTTGTCCACAGGGAGCCAGAACAGCCCTTAGGAATACAGATCTTATCAAGTCCCGATGGTCTTCCTGTGTTTGCCCTTGTGGCACTGCCCCTGCCCTTGTCCACAGGGAGCCAGAACAGCCCTTAGGAATACAGATCTTATCAAGCACCTGCTTCCAGCTCTTCCAGGGCTTCCCATCACTCTGCCCGAGGCCTCCACCAACCAGAAGGAACCTGTTGGAGCCTGGGGTCCCCGAGGGCAGAGCTGAGACAAGGCTCACTGAGGGTTGATTTGGGAAGTGATTCCCCGCAGCTGGACTGAGGGACACTGCCCCCCGGAGAGCACTCATGGGCTTTGCCCTTCATGGGCCACAGCCAGGACCAGACCCACACCGACAAGGAAACACCAGATCTCTGTGATACGAGCAAGGTGAGTCAACCAAGGTAAACAGAACAAAGGAGAAGGTTCCTTTCTGGGCCACTCAGGTCAGCATGACCTTGACCTCCCTGACCTTAGGGGGGCAAGCTGGAAACACACCGAGGCTTCCACACTAGGGCCCAGTGTCTGATAGGCCCTCTGAAGAGCACAAGGATGTGTGAGCAGCCTGTAGGGCGAGGTACCAGTTCTCACGAGGCACATGAAGAATGTGCTTGCTCTTTGGAAATGCTTTGACCCATGGGAATCGATTCTTCTGGATCCTCCATCACTTCCTGCCAGTCCAGCATTAAGGAGGGAGCTCTTATATTGGGGGCTTGGCTTAGTGTGAGGAGTCAAGGAAGGCTTCCCTGAAGAAGGGGCACCAAGGGTTGAAGAGGATGGGGAGGAGAGTGGGGGTGAGAGTATTTGGGGCAGAGGATCTACGCCTGCAGGGGCTCTGCCTGGGAGGGAGGCCACTCTGAAAGAACACTGATGGAACTGCAGTGTGGCCACTCGGCTTCCCTGCCAGGACTCCTGTGAGAAAGGGGCTGTGGTCGGAAAGCTGGGCTTTGGAGCACTGGAAGCTGCCAGCAGCCTCTGCAGGGTTGGGAGGTGGTGTGGTCGGCACAGACACCACTGCTGCTGGAGCTATGTGTCTGCAGCCCTGGGACCTGGAGGACAATGGACAGAGCTGCTGCTTTTGAGATCAGCAGTAACAGGAAACCCGTGAGATGGAGTTGGGGGGAGTGGTGTGGGTCGGTGGTGGCTGCAGCAGGAAAGGGCCAGGGTGAGAGCACAGCTCACACTGCCTGGGGGCTCCTGACACTGAGAAAAATCTAGTAGGTCCCTGAAACCAGAAGAGCAGGAGGGGTGGAGCCAGAGAAATACTTTGGCCCATCAGCTGGAGGCCAGAGCGGCAGGTCACATTCACGGTCACCATCCATATTGAGAGCAGGGACTTTCACCCCTTCGAAGCGCTGGCTGTTGGCCTCCAGAGCACAGTGCCCAGGATGAGTTGGGTCGGGTCCAGATGAGCAAGGGGCAGAGGGCTCCTCCAGCCTCGGCCCTGCACACTGACTCAGATCTCACGCCATGCAGGCCCCTCTGTGTCCTCCTGGTCCCCCTCTGCCTCCTGCCCCCCTCCTGTTGTCTACCCCATCCCTCTGGGCTGGGTGGTGGTTCTCAAAAGCATTGTAGTCACTATGGCTGTTGGTCATATTTTTCTGGTCCCCCGCCCCCTCCTTCTAGACACGTGGTAGGATTATATTCCTGTCCTCCTTCTGGTTGGGTGAGGATCTGTAACCAGAGCTCTGACCACTGACTTTTTTGTTGTTGTTTATTTGTTTTTTAATATATTTTTTATTGATTTCAAAGAGGAAAAGACAGGGATTGAGAGATAGTGAGGAGGAAACTGGTCTTGCAAGGCATGTCAGGCCATAAAAACTGTGGACAATGCACTGCCCTGGGGGGTGAGGAAGGTCCCAGGACAGATCATCAACACCTGGGGGCCTTCCTGTAAGCCCACGAAAGGGGGTGGAACTACTTGCAAGGGGGCGGAACCATATCTGCAAGACAAAGACCCCAGAAGGTTATAAAAAGCGAAGCCTCTGTGTGTTACTTCACTCTGATTTGGAAATTATTCCTAGTGTTAATAAACAGGGTCCCTCTCTTTCTCTAGGAAGCATGCTTGGTATTTCTTTACTCTTCTGTAACATATGGTTCCCTGACCGAGAAGCTAACCGAGTTTGGCTCTTGCCTCCAATGAGTGGACAGGGTTTGGGGCCCGGGGGCGTCAGACAGGCCTCTGGAAGGCGCGTGCTGATGATTTTAGCAGGGGAAGGGCTGATATCCTCTTCCAGTGCACTCCCTTGGGAGAGGCCTGATCACTGCCCTGCCACAGGGGATGGGTACGAAGGCAGGGGCCTGGTACCCAACCCACTGCCACAGGAGCGCTTTATAATATGCAGGGCTGTTTCTAACTGCAACTCTGGCTGTT